AATTGAACATTCTAAGAGTTCGAAATTTAGGACATTTAACTGGTCATAGATCATATTATCTACTTGGCGCAGGTGCGGAATTAGAGGAAGCACTTGTTAAATATTCGTTAGCTAAGATTTTGAGAGAAGGGTTCAAGTGCATTTCAGTTCCCGACGCTGTTCGACCAGTGGTCTTTGAAGCTTGTGGCATGAATACATCAGGGCTACACACACAAGTTTATCACCTACATCCAGATAGGCATAGTGAACTTTGTCTGACTGGGACATCAGAAATTTCAATGGCTGGATATTATATGAATCGTATATTAGAACACTGTGATTTACCACAGAAACTGGCTGCCGTAAGTCGGTGCTATAGAGCTGAAACGGCACACACTGCTGAGGCCAGAGGACTATATCGTGTGCATCAATTCACCAAAGTTGAAATGTTTGCTGTTACTCGGAACAATATCGAAAGTGACCAAATCCATCAACAGTTTTTGACTATTCAGAAACAACTCTTTTCTGGGCTTGGACTACATTTCCGAGTTCTAGATATGCCGTCAGAAGAACTTGGAGCACCGGCATATCGGAAATTTGACATAGAAGCATGGATGCCAGGCAGGGACACGTATGGCGAAATATCAAGTACATCAAATTGCACTGACTACCAGAGTAGAAGACTGAATATTAAATATAGAGATAAAAGCAACTCGGAACACTTTGTGGGTACGGTAAATGGAACAGCATGTGCTGTTCCAAGAATGATTATTGCAATTTTGGAAACCTACCAGCAAGAAGATGGTAGTGTAGAAATTCCACTGGCTTTACAGTCTTATATGAGAGGACAAGCAGTCATTACAAAACCCACAAGAAAACCACTACATTTTACAAGATTTTAATAAATGTAACATAAACTGTATTTTTGAATAAATAGTCAATATTTGATTTGTAAGCGTAGTTGGGTTATACATTTTCATATAGGCACCATTTTTGCTCTATTAGAAGCACATCTCCAATAGAAGTGCATATAACCAAAAATCTCATTACAATATTACTTACTTTGAGCATATAGAAAAATCTCAATATTTCATGTAGTGCATGCTACTTTAGAATAGCTTATTTCATTTTGGCAAATTTTGCTGAAATGCATCAGTTATCAGAAAATTTTACTGAAACCTTCCATGTATTGCATCATTGTGCCTCAACAGAGTATGGAATTGTGTTCTGCTTGTGTACCATATCTTCCCAGAGCTGCATAGACAGATTGATTGCGTTAAAACTTTGTACAAATTTGCTACACAATAGTGTACATGTACTCCTTATTATGAGTATCGTATCCAAGTATACATCATGT